TGTGTGAGAGAGAAAGTAGTTCAGAAGGATATAATAAACGGTCAAAACCAAAAGTGAATGTGTGAAGTTAATAATCCCTTTATTAAACTGTAATCAGCAGTCATTTCCACAGAGTCATTCCACGTCAATCAAATCTCATTATAACAATACTAACCTTCAAAATTCGTAAAAAGACAAATTATTGTATATGCTTAAACGAGTCAAAGAATGCTTAATTAATATCTGAAACTTTTTTTTTAATAACCCCTATCTTTATTTCTCGCAATTTGTCCTGTGGACATTCGGTGATTTGGATGGTAGTAAGGGTAATATGTAGGTGCTAATCTTTTTGGAGTTGCACTGGCTGCATTCAGCGGACTCAACCGTTGCGCAACCGTTGAGTGATTTCACTAGATTTTACGCTGAACAGTACCGTTCACTTGCTAACTTCTCAACATGTTTAGTGATCGGTCGCCATATTTTGTAGCGGAAATAAACTATGCTACCTTTGCTCAATGTGTTGTGATTCAATATGGCGGAACCCAGTGAACCGACAAACGTAAACAATGTAACGCATATACGAGGCACAAGCCATAACGGCATTTTACATACAAAACTAGATACCATATTTTCCACATTTGTTTATTAGTATCTATCATTCACAAAGTTCTGTTCTTTATTTAATCTTTTTTTATAATGTAATATCCAATACTACTTCTAAGTTATGTATTTTATTTTTATATGCACTTTGAAGCTATCACTGAATTAAAAAATTTATATTTCAAAACTTATACGTGACATCCGAAAACGTTCTTTAAATAAATTATCAGTGTATAACGAAATTATACTTTTAGCATAGTTTTCATTTTATCTAATCCTGTGCTTTGTTGTTGTTAAATTATTTATAGGTTGCCCTAAATCGTCCATTAATCTTTTAATTTCATTCACATCCAACGCATTGTCCAGATCAATTATAGCAAAGCTGCATTCATTTTTTTATACTTTATTATTATTTTATGAGAAGATAATATTGTTCACGCATGTTGTAACAACTGTTTAAATTTAGCGCCACAAGCTGCTACAAATGTATCACACTACCCCAAATGTCGTTCAGGAAAATTAAAGGACTAATCAGTGATGAATTCACTACGGTTGTCTCAACGGTTGAGTCCGCTTTAGTCCGCTGAACGCAGCCATTGTTAAAACTGTACTTGTGTGGTTAGATCCAGTGGATGTTTTTTCTTCAGTCTTCTGATTATATCGGTAGTGTATAGACAGTTGGCCAACGGGTTTGGATGGTTTCATGTTTTTATTTTATATCTGTCGGGTATCTGTTGAATTTCTTCCTCTACAGTAGGGATTTGTAAATCTTTGCTTACTTCTTCGTTCCTTATGGTCCGTTGACTATAGTTTGTAGAATAATTGATTGAGCGGCCTTCCATTTGCTTCCATTCTGGTGATATGGCTTTTTACTGCCGTGCCCCATAACTGGATGCCGTATGTCTATATGGATTTTATTATTACTTTATAAATCAGCAATTTGTTTTCCCATGCTCAATTTCGATTGACGGTTTGTTAATCAACACATGTCTCTTCTTTTAATTTTAATTTGTTGTATTTTTTTGTGTATGTGATGAGTCCAGGTTAATTTTGTGTCCAAGTGGAGTCCCAAGTATTTGACCACTTTTGTTTTCGGTATCTCATTGGTGTGATTTTCGGGATTTCACCTCTGTGAAGGGTGAATGTTATGTGATTACATTTGTTGTAATTAACCATTATTCTTTGCTCTGTGAGCGATTTTTCTAGCAGTCTAATGTGGTTTTGTAGAGTTTTAACTACTTCTTGTAGATCTTCATATGTTGCTGTTATCGTTGTGTCATCTGCAAATGTGCGTATTGAGGTATTTGGTGTATAGTATTGGACCAAATACACTTCCTTGTGGTACTCCAGCATTTATTATATGAATGCCTGAGTACAAATTCTTCACTTTTACGTAAAAAGTTCTACTGCTTACATAAGATTTCAACAGAAGGTAGATTTTATCCGGGAAGTGTTATTTTACTGTTTTTAGTCAACCGCTGTGCCAAACCTAGTTGAATGCTGTTTCAATATCAGTTTCAAAAGTAAGATTGGTCTGCATGAGGAAGATTTGTGAATATTTTTGTTTGGCTTTGGCAGCATTATTACTTTGGTCAATTTCCATGTACTTGGTTCGTATTGCAGTCTGAGTATGGTGTTGAATATTATTGCAACCATGCATATTGCCTATTCAGGAAGTTATTTAATTATTTTGCTGCTAATTAGGTCAAAGCCTGGAGTTTTATTAGTTTTAATTTTTTAAATGAGTTTTATTTTTTTTTGTAGTACTACGAAGAATATTGTTTTGTCCCACATCCACTGTAGTGTCGTTTGTTGTGTAGTTCCATTTCAGTAGAGTGTGGTAGAGATATTCTGTAAACACCGTAGCTTGTTCCAAGAATGTTTTTGCCCAAGAGCTGTCTCCTTTTTTTTAGTGTTGGTATCGGAACTATTGATGTTATTCTGAAGTGCATTCTGTTTAGTTCTTTAATTATGGCAAAGTCTGTTAGATCTGGTATTTTCTCGACTGCTTTTCGCCAGTAGGTGTGTTCACCAGTGGTAAGCGGTGATAGTGTTAATTTTTCTATGACATGTAGCAATGTTCTGCCCCTGGGTGTTATTCCTTTTGAGCTCCAGTGCTTATGCTTAGCATTATAGTCATCTGCTGCTAAGAATTTATTTCCTAGTGTTTGGAAGAAGTGTGTGATTTGGAGGTGAGTAAATGGTTGATATCTGTACTTCTTTGTTTGTTTCTATTGTTACTTTGTTGCTTGCAGATAATCATGTGTGACGGTACCTTAGATTTTAATTACAATTTTATGATCGGTTTTGTATATACTACTATTATATTATTATATGTTACATACATCTGAAATTATTGTAAAGAAAGAAAACCTATCAATGTAGTTTTGAGAACGTACATTGTAGGTTAATGTGAAAATAAGGTTGGATAGTTTATTATAGATATTAAGTTCAAATTAACTGGATTGGTATTACTGTATTTTCAATTATTGTAAATTACTGAAGTAATCCTAACTAAATACTATAGGTTAATGAATTAATCGCAATACCCGTGCAATATATCGCATCCGCGTTATTGAAAACTCTTTTTTTGCCATCGTCTTCAATTTTAATGGAGGAAAGTGTTGAATGATCAACCTAAAGACCTACTGACTGTGATTCTCTCTATATCTGCGAGCGCATTGCTCTATCCTAAATAACTTAGTCACCCTTATTTTGCCGAAAATCTGAACTCTTACTTACTCATCCTGTACTAAGATCCACAAGCATCTTCTCCCTACCACAGAGCAATAGTATATAAAACCCTATTAAATTTCGTAAAAGGTTAGACCTAATTCAGACATAGACTTGAGAACTGCGAAACGTTTAGTTTACAATTAGACTCTGGACACTCTGTTACGTGTAATTGAATAAACCTCTTCAAGACTTTTTAAAAGTGTTGCACTCGACTCTCCGACTCGGAATTCAACAACGGTTTTGGATACAAAAATGAGCAGTTTGTTCCACTGTGCGTCACGCCGCACTGGTGGACCTGCTAAGACCAGAATTCTACAGTTCAGAATTACAAAAATAAATTTTAAAAACAAAAGATCACAGAATACGGACATATTAAAAAAGAAATTGTAAATATGACCCTGGAGTCCAATTTACAAAATAATAATATTTTTGTAACTACACGTATACAGAAAAATATTAATTAAAAATAACAATTCATCATGATTAAAATGACAGAAACATCAAGTTCATATCTTTAATAGTTGAAGGGACAAGAGTTCTTTTGAGAATGTAGTTTTCGTAAGAATCTGTGCAAATTATCAACTTTGAAAGTTTGTATCTTTTAAACAATTTCAAAATCAGATCTCCCCATCCTATTCCCACGTGGAATGTAACGTATTTCAATTTGAGAAAAATCCCAGATGTCGTGTATAAAAATGATCCGCTTAGCGTGAAATGACCCAATTATGCATTTGATGAACCATAAGAGGAAATAATTAGTGATCGAAACAAACAAAAGAACTTTTAGGATATTTATTGACGCTATATTTCTCCGACTTTCTAGACACTTAATTCACAAAAAGCAACTGAAATGCAATATACAAATGTATCCATTAAGGGAACTTTAAAGAGACCTATTAGTCCAAGAATAGTTAAGGTTTCGAATATTCGATCAAAGACAAAAGAGAACAAGGATAAGGAAGTACACACTAAATGTACTAAGATTACACTGTAGATAAAATTACATTATTTTAACTAAATTATAATTGGATCTTCATGTTTCATTGTCACTGTGATTGTGTAATATCCGCAATTAAGTTTCGAACAGTCTGACGAGCAAGTATCCGTAACTGCGGATACCAAAATAATGAAATCGAAAATTATATAAGTAATGGTAATATACACAAGAACTTGCCAAATAAATAACCTAATATCGTCGCCCTGAATAAATGCATAAATGTTTATGTTAATATTTGGAAGTGTCTACTGGTTACTTTCCAAGTGTTGACGTGTCAAGAATTTGTATTACGCGAAAACGTGTCAAACGACGTGATATTACGTGTATGTATCATCTAATACTTAATAGACGAAAAACTGTCAATATCGATGATCAAATGTTATTTTTATAGCAAACTGTCCAAATGATATTATGGGACAGTCTAATAGCACTTTAGTCTCTGTCAGTCCGTAGATGCAATGTCGTATCACGATCCCGTTCGTCATTTGTATGAAAAAAAAAAAAACGAAAAGTGTAATGCGAGCTCGTGGCGTTCATACTTATACTGCCACGACGGCGAATGTAAAAATTTGCATTGCTTTGCAAACATAGGTGAATGCACGCACGCATGGTATTTCTGTCTGGCCAAAGACGCGTGGGCATGAAGAAGGTCGAACAAAAACGAAGGCAGAACAGGTGTTGTGTTTACCTTAGAAATCGGCAGTCCCGGGCGACGTACGTGCGATTACTTTCGACACGTGTCCATCGGAGAAATGAATTTATTACACGAACGCAACCGAGACTAATGACCCCTCGTGGAATCAGATATGTAGATCCTAATCGAGTGAAGGCCGTTTTTTCTTATGATCCTTATTATACTCCTTTCTCCACTCTAAATCATTGAACACTTTCTACTTGGCACTGTTTTTTTGAATTTTTTTTTTATCTTTCACAACAATTCCGATGTCCAGGCTTCCCCACTATTTTAATGCAGGACACTTTCCCTCGCGATCGACACTTCGGCTTCTTCCCACTAGTGTTCCTGAACAAGGTTTTCGATTGTTCCTTTCAGACAGAGATACGATTGATAATTTGTGTTTCGTCGTACTTCTGTCCGTCCAATTCTCTGTTAGATGTCAGGGATCCGATGAAATGATCTTTGATGCCTGAGTGGAAAGTACTAACTGTACAACACGTGGAAATTATTTGTGGTTGATGGGGAGAAAGTTCGTTGTATCGTTGTCTTTGATGCTATGAGTAGGTATAGTTTCTGCATTATTCTGGTTATCGCGCGAGATAGAAACGACAGAATCTGTTATTTTTTTTTATCATACAAGTGAGCGACCTGCTGCGTGCATGGTATTCTGATCTACGTATGCGTATATACATTGCTTCCGCGATCGTGAACGTTCAGGAATGCGTATACGAGCCGAGTGAATGGGAGACTTTATTTTTTTTCTACTTGTATGTTTTCGGCAGTAACGATCACGGAAGGCATTTTTATGCAACCGAGTCTTGAACGAATGAAAATTCATGTAATCCCGATCGAAGGCTTATCGAAACTGTCGGAAATATCTACGAATAGGAATTGCTGATTCAGATTCACGAATGAAGGCATTAAAATGATTTTCACAGTGAATCCCGGAGTCTGAAGGCAGATGCAATTCAGTATTGGGGAATTCCCGTCGCCAACGTGGAAGCCAACAAGTCGACTCGGCGAAGCTGATTCGCGAGAACCGGCCGAGGAAGAAAAACAAAAATTCAAGCACACGACCAAAACATGTAGCGCAAGGCGTATTATCTCTTTTCCATTTCCAATTTCCACCGCGATCGTCTCGGAATTCTCACCGAGTGTTACGAGGTCATATCCGCGTACGAATGACCGTATTCGTCTAGGCGCGTTCTTACGCGAGGCCGACCGATACTTTCCTCGGGCTTTCGACTGAAAAGTCAAAATAAATTCTACAGTGAAAGAGATCAACATTAATGTTCTATTCATCGGCCGAAAGATATTTTACATATTTCAATGTGTATATTCGAATTTTCGCATTCCTGACACGAGAGTTTTGAAAATTATTTCTTAAAGAACTTAAGGGATCAAGGAATACTTCTCCGAGTGTATTTTCGGAGCAACGAAAGTCGCGACCGTTACCTACGGGAAACGATTAGACGGAGTACAATTCAACAAATGTAGAATCCACCTTGGGTATACGCGTTCGTATCCAATTAATCATCCACAATGAACCCGCGAACGCCTTTCGACGTCCACATTCCCAATACTGTCGTTTCATCTGCGCGATCTTGCGACTGCTTTCCACCAGCATGTATACCGTTAATTGTGCTTGATTGGATTTCGTCAAGTTCCACGAGATTTCGCAGCATTTGGCTGTATTGGCGTTTTAAACAACGGGTGAAAAAACGACTGAGGGAAACGGTGTAAGTGGGTACTTAGGAAGCAGAGATAACGAACTAAGAAGGAAGTATGTCGGGGATGTTGAAGAAACACTTCACTAAAATTCCCGGCACGATACGGCCGAATGGAACGGTCGACGTCACGTTAACACCGGCTCGACAAATCGGGATCGGTTGGAGATACATTTGACACGAGTGGTCTCGACTGACCGAGCGCCCGATCCGGACTGACTATAACTGTAAACGATCACTTGTCGGTGCCAAGCTTATCCCCACCACGTGCCACGAAACGGATCGCTCCCTACCAGTGGGTGATAGACCGCGCTGAACTGAGCCAAACCGAGCCACGTTGTGCCGTGTGGCCGTGTCGCGCGAGCTCCCGACTTGTCCAACCTGTTCCCCACGATGCATTCCGTCACTTCCACCTTCGTCGGCTCCGAATCAGAAGCGTATCTTCCACCTGCTGCCACATCGGTGTGCCCAGCCGAATCCAAAGAGAAGAAACGTTCTTTTCACCTTGAATCGCCTAGCTTGGCTGAATATTACCGCGGATGGTAACATTGAGATTACCACTGCAATCAAGATTTTCATGTATCCTACTTTCACCATCGCTGTTCCATACTTGCGCGTTCTGTTGTGCGCTCTGACGATAACATGCTCTGTTTGAACTTTTCGTGATTAAATACACATTTTATCAATTAATTGCACGTGACATGAAACACGTGTTCTTTTTTATACCGATTCGACAAAATTTTTCAAATTAATTTCACTGACACTGTACGGGGTGTTAAGAAATATATGGGATATGTTGACGGGGTGGATTCTACGTGCTAAAATAATGTAAGACGAAAATCAAGAATGACGAAATTATGTTCGAGGATCCGTCTCGAAATATGTATAAAATACATACGTCTGACGCGTTTGTTCTCTTTGAGGAATGCGTTTTTGAGTTGATTCACAAGCTCGTTCGGTAACTGTCAGTACCGTAACACCTAAAAAGATCCCCTTACCTCACAGCTAAAGTGGTAACTCAAACGGCCAGTACGAATAGCTGGACAACATTAAACTTGCCCACATTGTAGTAATCGCGGAAGTTACGTGCGGGTCATTCTTATTCGAAATACTGCATGTGCGAGTTTAAATTACAAATATACGTACTTTTGGTTTAAATCATTTGATTAAATTACTTTACATGTTTAATCAATTTCAATAGATTTCAGTGTTTAATTTTCGTGTTCTGTGGTAATTATTATTCTTGTGCTTTTTTTTTGTTCGCGTATATTCAAATTCTTGTGTATTTCTGTTTCCTTGTGGGTGGTAATTGCAATTCCGAGAAGATGACAGATGTTATTTCTTTTGACATTGCGAGTAATGCTAATTGTCCTGGAAACAAAAAACAAGTGCCGGAATGAAGCTAGAAGAATCGACAACGCCTCATGTACGGACATAGGCACAAACTGAAGATTATTCTGAAGCATCTGGAAGTAATTCAAAAGGATATTGTCTTGTAGTCAGTGGCGTTATTAGGGGGGCACACCGAGTGATACCACGTGATCATGATACCCACTGTTTTCAAACGTATGTTAAGAAATCAGTTACAAATTGCATGTTCTCAAAAATACTCTGATTTATGTCGTGTTTGGACTTATTTTCATCAGTAGTATCTCCAAAATTTATTCATAACATTTTTGAAAACGTCCATTGAAAAGAGTAAAAGTTAAATGCGTGATTCATTCTGTGTGTTACACTGTAGCCCGAGGCTCGATCTCCGGAGGCTTATAGGGTATCAGATAACATCTCCCCTCACCGAGGCCTGGCGTATAATACAAAATTGAAATTAACACTCCGAGAACGGTGCCGGAGTCACTCGCTCGCGCGACAGACACGCACACGGTGACAGAATCTTGTGGTGGGAACAAGCGATACGACACTGTGGTAGTACACTATTGCCGAGCAATCGTTCTGTGTATTAGGAGAATGTCGGTGAAGACCTTGAGCTCAAGCCACCCGAAGCCAGCCGATAAAGCAACATTCACAAATCGCGGGAATGTTAATTTGCATAACATACATTTATGGGTAACGGAAAATCCACATTGGCTGCGGAAGATTGAATACCAGAGACAATGGTCTGTGAACGTATGGTGCGGTATCACAGGTGATAAAATTATTGATCCTCATTTTATTAATGGAAATTTGAATGGCAACGTCTACGCTAATTTTTTTAAGGATACATTGGGTCCTTTGCTAGAAGAATTGCCTTTTTTTACGTAAATATTTCGTTAACTATTAGATTTAGAGCATATGCAGGTCAACACATTTTTACTCAGAATTTGATACTCTATAAATCTATGGTACACAAAGTAGGTCATTCCGTTAAAAAAAATCAAAGTGACCTTGAAATTTCTAAAATGCTTCCACCCGCGAAAAATACACGTACCTTATAAAATGTGCCCCTTGATGCCATTTAAGTTCCACGCCTCAAAATTTTCATAAAGTGTACCGTTAAGTCATTATTCGAGGTGATCCAGTTAGCTAAGACACCCTGCATATTATATGTATAATAGAAATACAGTGATGTCCGTGTATATGTCCGGGCGTTATCTGCACTAGTTCTCGGAACATTTGTGTTATGTCGTCTGGGCGGAGGATACATACGCGGACATCACTGTATATATTTATGGAATACTCATTGCACCAATTTCCTCTTTATTAGAACTCAGATTTATGCCGTATTTACACTAACAGTAAATAAGAAGTGATCTTGACCAAAGTATTAACTGAATGACAACCGACAATATATAAAAACAGGTATAAATATATATACCTGTCAATATATTAATAGTAATAAAACATTTTGTAATAATAACAAAAATTGATTTTGCTTATAGAAATTATTATAAAACTTCTGTTTGCAAATATTACCTGCATGTTTCCTTCAGTACTTGTACCCTATCAGAATTTATAATAATACATAAGATGTACAATGATTCGAGTAAAACACATTGATATGTAGAAATGGAATTTCTTTAATTAAAAAATTAGAAAACTTTTACATAATAGACATTAATAAACTTTTTAGTGTTCAACTTGGCAGCCTTCGAGACTCAACGCGCGCGCCAAATTTCTAGCAACTGCTAATCGAAAGATTTCAATTTCATCTTGAAACTTTGTGTCATGTCCATGCGCTTCTACACAGCGTAATAATTCATAACAATCACTCGAAGATAGAATTACATCTTTAGCTTCTAACAATGGAATAGCATCAGACAGAAGAATCGACCAAAAGCTGAAATCAAAATTCCCCATTAAACAATTCCGTTTTATTTAAGTTAAATGTATTTATACTTGGAAAAAGAGAGGCCGAGAAAGTCAACAGATAAGACGATGAATGACGAAGGGAAAAGGATGTCAGAAATAATGGAGAAGAAACAGAAGAGCAGAGTTTCGAAAAAGGCGTCAACGAAATGATGGAAGAGTTGAAACAAACAGTAAACAACGTGGTACAAAAGAAGAAGGTTAACATAAAAATTTAATATATAAATCTAATATGTAATAGAAAATATTGTAAAACATGCCCCTTTTAAAGGCCGATAGACGTATGTAATAAACGCACACTATTACTATTTATATCTTACTTACTATTTTGGAGTTAAATTTGAAACTAGAAGCGATACCAGTAAGCTTGCTGCTTCTTTATATTCTCCAATACCATACATTTGATGAAATTCACAATATTTCCCTAAAAATAGTATAATAATTAAAATAATTGATGCTTTAATTAGAAAATAATTGTGTCGAATATTTTCAAACTTTCCTACCTAAAAATGTGAGTCTGTCGCTTGCCATCATACAAAAACCTAAATTTTCTAAGAGATCGCGGCATTCAAGTTTGCCAGTTTCCGCATACTGTTTTAAAAATTGATCAGCTATGTATGTTATGAAACTACTGTCTTGTGCCTTTAGTGCCCATGCAAGTGCATTTCCAAGTCTTCCTTGCTTTATACATTTTATTCCTTGGATTTTACATACACTAGTGACTAAAAAAAAGAACATTCTTGTTCAAAAGATTGTTTTGAAAGGTGTTCAAATACAAATCAATACCAACCAACATGGTCCATTTTATTAGTACATGCCATATCTATAATTTTGTTTACTCTGGCTTCTGATCCCATTGGTAGTGATTGTATTAATAATTCAAGTCTTGCTAAACCTTGTATAGAACAATGTATTAAATAACTTGCGCCACATTGCCACAAAGAATGATGTCCCATTAATGTGTTACCGTATTCCAATATCAGAGACTCATGAAGCTGTCTAGTAACTCTAATACAGTGAAAAAATTATATTTCAATTGTATTCTTCTTACAATGTAGACAATAATCACTAAATTACTTACTCAATTTGATCTCTATCTAAAATTTTAAGTCTCCCACAAGTGTAAAGTAAATCTACTAAATGTGTTGCAAACCATCCGTTATCACCCATGTATTGTATTTCTCTAATAACTTGATGTAAATCACTTTCCATTAAAGCACGTATAGCATTATCAGATGGTCTATTAGCCTGCCATCTTTTGGAAATACTGTTTGCATGGTAAGCGAGTTCAGGTTGTTTACAACACGGACATGTATACAATAATTTTGCTGCTAACAGTTCATACCAAGCATCTGTATATGATGACAGTTGCCATAGTACTTCTTGTTCTCCTGCAATTAACTAAACTGAATTTTTTAAATATTTAAAATGATTAACATTACTTCATTGTATGTATACATGCGTAATAATGATGTAAATACCTTCATAGTCATTTCTAAACTCGCATCAATAATAAAAACTTTACTACTTATATTTGCACATAAATCTAATTGCCAATGTTTCCAACGCATAATGAATTCATTCACAGAGTAACTACCAAATGCATTGTACATTGGCATTGTTTTAAGAATATTATCTGCCGTTACAAAAGCAGGATGATCTACTTTACTGTGTAATGATAAAAGAGCTTGTACTGAATCTAGCTTTCCATGTAAGACACAACGTATAACTGTCTCCCAATAATTTGCATGTTTCAGCTCAGCACCCAGTGCTTTCTGGGCTAATATTTTACTTGCCATGTGTTCAGTAGATGGAAAATGAAATTTAATCCATTCTAGCAATTGTGGTAAAACTACATCACCTACATTTAAAATGTCACAAATTAGTAGAATATACGTATATTGATACATTTATTAATTTAATATGTATTAACCCTTTGCACTCGAGAGGCGCCACTACGGCGCTCTGGTGTTTCATGCTACAACTCGAGAGGCGTTTCTACGGCGGCCTGGCGTTTTATGCGGGAATTCTGATGACGACTAAGCAGCGGCACTTTTTGTGGGCCTCCAAGAAATAAAAACAGTACCTATTTGTAGATAAGTTCTTGAGCTCTATGTCTTTCTTTCCGGGTATTGTACTTCTTACAATGGCGATAAGATATTTTTATTTCAATTTTTGTCATCAATGAACCCCAACTAAATGAAAAGCTCCATGTTATTCTGAAAGGGGTAAAGAGGGATTGCAAGATCTGCTCTGACCGAAGTAAGTCTGGCTGTAGACATAAACCCTCAAATTATTGTGATACGTGCCCTGACAAACCGAGGATGCATCTCTGGGATTGTTTTGTAACATATCATAGAAAAAACAATTACAAAATGTAATATTTAACAAATTTTGTTTGGAAAACGTAGAAATAAATGAATTATTGAAATTTTATTATTTGTATTTGTCACTTGCCTAATATAACCAAAATCGTCTCGAGTTGTTAGTTCATCCGAGCAAAAAAGTCCTCGAGCGCAAAGAGTTAATAACATACATATATTAAAGTGTTCATCAGATAACAAAAAGGAAATGCATATATTCTTAATATATAAATATGATAAAATATTTTACCTGGTACAGTATCTATATAAAGTATTTCAGTTAAATGCCACACACATTCTATTTGATAAAAAATAGTAAGAAAGTTTTCAAATGATTCCGTTTTATTGTACAAAGATTTTCCACATATATCTTGTAAACTTTCTATACATGCCCTTAAGATGGATCGATATTGTTTGCTATGTTGCAAAAGTTCTGTCCTGACATCACCAGAAGATGATTTTATTTTCCGAACGGATAAGAAAACACCATTACTTTCATTGACAAGTTTACGTAATTGTGGTGAAAATAAAATTACTTCTGGTTTCAAAATATGGACTGCTGGATCATGCCTGTTGCAATCTTTATCATTTATACTTTTGGTAGCATATACACTAATTTTATTACTATTTATCCAACTAGCAGAAATACATAGATTTTTATAGATATTTGGAATACCCTAAAATTAAAAAATATAATTGTTAATATATTTTGATGGCTGTATAGTAGCCCTACAATTCTATTTGTATTAACTAAGCTTTCAATTGATATATGCTTTATTGCAAAATAACAATACAATGTAACAAAAATAGCAATGTAAGTAAACTATCACAGAATAAAGCCACATAAATATTTGTAACAAAGAAATTTTGTATGTGTGAAAACACGATATTTACAAATCTGGTTTCCCTTGGAATCCAGTCTTCTTTGAAGTTAATATAGCGAATGAACCAAAAAAGTAATGAAATTACAGTAAATAAAAGAAAATTGATATATAAATGACATATCGAAAGCAAATCTTACTCACAAATTGTAAATTTAGTAAGTAGAAGCAAGTTAACAATATGTACAGCATGTAATAAAAAAAATTAATTAACAAAAAACCAAACAACAAAGAAACCGACTGCTCTTAAAAAACTTGTTATTTTGCAATAAAGATTATATCAATTGAAAGCTTAGTTAATAAGACATATTTTTATTGATGAGTACTTTAAAACTTTTTTTAAAGAAATATCAATTGCTCAAAGTTGACAATTGGAAGTCATAAATTATATATTGGAGGAGACCTTTCAAACAATATGATGTAACGAATATTATACATGCATTGAACTTTTTTTATTGGGTTAAAAGACATTTATCGTAGAATAAAAATAACATTAAAGAAATTGAATAATGGAATCTAGGTTACGTACTAATTTGAAGAATGTGGTTAAAGGAGTTTAGTGCTTACCATGGTTAGAGGATTATCAGTTTCAGCCATAATCATACGAATTTTAGATTTGTGATAAACTTTCTTCTACGTTTTTTCCGTAAAGTAAACTGACACCACTAACTTTCAATCACTTTCAATAGTTGTGTGGTAAAGTTGAACGTTGAACTTGAACCCCTTAAACACACGGATCAGGAGGATTAGGGGGTGGACACTCAAATGAGAAGATTTGGACAGTGTTTTTGGCGCCACCACAGTTAATCTGCGGAAGTATGCACCGACTAGGTATAGGATAGACCTATCATCTTATGGGACTTCGTGTCTCATGCTTTGAAATACCGATAGTGTAAAAAGTCAGGGATTTTCTGCTGCCCTCTACGTTATCAGAACGGTGAATTTGTGAACTACGTTAAATCTAAGAAGGGACCATGGTCGTGAACGGATTCTCTTCCGTCCGTTCGCTATAAAGTAGACACGTATTAGAAAGGAGTCTTGGGTTCGAATCCCGGCGGACCTATATTAGTTTTTCTTCGCATACAAAAAAGTTATTGCGTTTAATATTGTTTTTATGGATATGTATATGTATTATTATGTACATTTGAGTAAATTATTTTATTATTCCATTGTTATTACAACAGTTTAACAGTGACAACGAACGCATGCATATTTTCAAATATCGGACTAATAGTATATTTTTATTCTATATTATTACATATAAGTGAGTAATACGTATCAAAAACGTAATCGAAACACAGATTTTTATTACACCACAAACATCGCATAAAAGATATTTCGTTATATTGACATTTGTAATAATTATGGATGTTGCAAGGAAATCAATATTATTGACATTATGGAAAATATAACGAAATATCACTGTAACACTTAAAAAAGTTTTAAAGTTCCATTTATATCATTGTCCTGTGAAAATGTTCA